TAACAAAAGAGGAGATACAAATGGCAAATATATAAACTGCATAAAAATGTGTTCAAGTTCATTATTTAAGAGATAAATGATTATTATTAAATGACTATGAGATCCCCCTTCAAACCTACTAGGCTAGCTAAAATAAAAAATTAAGTGCTAAGATATGGCACTTAATTTATGGTGAGATATGGAGCAACTAGAACTCTCATATAACACTGTAAGAGTGTAAACTCTTACCACTTTTTTGGAAAATTATTTGGCAGTGTATACTAAAACTCAACATACACATACTCTAGTACCCAGAAATTCTACTCCTAGGATATACTCAACCAAAATGCATGTACATGGTTATCAAAAAAAGAAAAAAAAATAGAATATTCACAACAGCACTATTTGAAATAGTTCCAAGTGCCCGTCAGCAGAATGAATGTATTAATACACAATTACATGTATGTATACATACATACACACACATAGACATGCATATGTATAAACTTTTAAAAACCTTGTGTAGTCACATAATGAAATACAATATAGACTATGGAGTAGTGAGAACCTATATACAACAATACGGATGAATCTTGCTCACATAATGTACAACATAAGAAGCCAGTCATTAAATAAATAAATATATATATATATATATATATATATATATATAATTGCATGATTCCATTTATTTATGGTCTGAAAACAGATCAAACTAGCCTAGTTGTTACATATCAGCTAGTGTAACTTTTGAAAAGGCAGGCAGTAACTAGAAGGAAGGACAAGAAGGCCCTTTGTTGCTATGTTCTCTTTCCTATTGCTAATGTTCTATTTCTTGATCTGAGTATTGGTTACAAAAGTGAAAAGTGTAAAAATTGGCATAGCTATGACTTTGATATGTGCACACTCTTGTATATTTATTATGCTTCATTAAAAGTATGTATATATAATAAATAGATATCCAATAAAAAGCAAACTACAGGTAACATAAGAAGAGATGAAAACTCTAAGAAAAAATCAAGAGGAAATGTTAGAAATAAACAAACACTGTAACAAAAATGAAGAGTGCCTCTGGTGGGCTCTGCAATAGACTGGATATGGCCAAGGAAAGAACTGGTGACACTGAAGAAATGTCAATAGAAACTTCCAAAACTAAACCACAAAGAGAAAGAAGAAGAAAACAACAGAATATCTGAGAACTGTGAGATAGTTAAAAAACACATAATCCAAGAACTATGCGACAGTTTAAAAAGATATAAGATACGCATAATGGGAATATCAGAAGGAGAAGAAAGAAAAAAAGGAACAGAAGAAATATCTGAAGCAATAGTAACGGAAAACTATCCCAAATCAATTACAGATACCAAGCCACAGATGCAGGAAGCTCAGAAACAACAAGCAGGATAAACACCACAAATTCTACACGTAGGCGTACCATATTCAAAGTATACAAACTCAACGACAAAAAAAAAAAAAAATCTTTAAAGAAACCAGAGGGAAAAAAATTCTATAGAGGAACAAGGGTAAGAATTGTATCAGATCTCGCTTCAGAAATCATGCGGGCAAGAAGAGAGTGGAGTGAAATATTTAATTGTTAAAAGAAAAACAACCATCAATTTTGATGTTTAATTTTATATGTCAGTTTGACTGGGCTAAGAGATGCCCAGATAACTGGTATAACATTTCTAGTGTTCTGTGAGGGAGTTTCTAGAGGAGATTAGCATTTTACTCAGTAGACTTAGTAAAGATGATTCTCCCTCACCAACATGGATGGGTAGCCCCCAATCCACTGAGAGCCTGAATAGAACAGAAAGGTGGAGGATGGGTAAATTCATTCTCCGTAAGCTGGAGCAGAACATCCATTTTCTGTTGTCCTCAGACATTGTAGCTCCTAGTTCTCAGGCTTTCAGATTCCATAACTTACACTAGCCCCACCCTCCACCCCTGTTCTCAGGTCTTTGGACTTGGAATAAATTACACCACTGACTTGCCTTGTTCTCCAGCTTGCAAATGGTGGATGGTGGAACTTCTCAGCCTCATAATTTAATAAGCCAATTCCTATCATCAGTCAATCAATCAATCAATCAATCAATTTATCCATCACTCCATCCTTTTGGGTCTGTTTCTCTGCAAAGACTTGACTAATACATCAGTCTAGATTTCTGTACCCAGTGAAATTATCCTTTAAGTGAAGAAAAAATACACACTTTCTCAGACAAATAAGAACTGAAGGAATTTGCTGCCAGTAGATCTGCCTTGCAATAAACGTTAAAAGAACTTCTTCAGAGAGAAGAAAAATGACACAGATCAGAAATCTAGATCTACACTGAGAAACGAAGACCATTAGGGAAGGAATAAACCAAGGTAAAAATAAACCTTTTCTAATTCTTACTTGTTCCAACCGTGTGTTCATCATAATAACAACACCACTTAGTCAATGATTCTAGCTTATGGATAAATGAAGTCAATGACAGCAATGGTACAAAGGATGGGGAGGAGGAATTCGGAATACTCTGTTACAAGGTACTTGCACTGCCTGTGTAGTGGTATGGTGTTATTGAAAGCAGACTTGGATTAATTATAAATGTAAACTACAAATGCAAGGAGTAAAAAAAGAAGTGTAACTAATATGGTAAAAGATGAGAAAAAAATGAAATCATACAAAATAATTAAAACAAGAGAAGGCAGAAAAGCACAATCCATAAATAAAAAAACATATGTTGGTTAAAACTGCTCTGCAAAAGACATAAAGAGAAAGAAAAGGCAAACCACAGGCTGGGAGAAAATCTTTGCAAAATACTTATTGGATAAAGGATTGCTACTCAAAATATACAAATGACTCTTAAAACTGAACAAGAAAGCCCATAACCTAATTAAAAAGCAGGAAAAAGATCTGAATAAACACCTCACCAAAGATATACAGACAGCAAGTAAGCATAAGAAAACATGTTCATTATCACAAGTCCTTAGGAAACTGCAAATTAATACAATAAGATATCACTACACATCCACAAGAATGGCTAAAATCCGCAACACTGACAGCATCAAATGTTAGCAAGGACGTGGAGAAACAGGAGCTCTTCTTCCTTGCTGGTAGGAATGTGAAATGATACCACCACTTTGGAATACATTTTGGCAGTTTCTTATACAACTGAACATATTTTACCTTATGATCCAGCAATCACATTCTTTGGTATTTACTCAAATGAGTTAAAAACTTGCATCCACACAAAAACCTGCACACAAATTATTTATAGCAGCTTTGTTCATAATTGCCAAAACTTGAAAGCAACTAAGATATCCTGATAGATGAGCGAAAAAACAAACTGTGGTACATCTATGAAGTGGAACATAATTCAGAGATCAAAAGAAATGAGCAATAATACCACAAAAAAAACATGGAGGAAACTTAAATGCATGTTGCTAAGTAAAAGAAGTCACTCTCAAGAGGTAACATACTGTATGATTTCAACTATGTAACATTCTGCAAAAGATAAAACGATGGAGACAATAAAAAGATCCGTAGTTGCCAGGGGTTCAGGGTACTGAGGGAGGGAGGGATGAAAAGGAGGAACACAGGGAGTCTTTAGGGCAGCAAAATTATTACTCTGCATAATACTGTAATGATGGATATATTCCATAAATGTGTCGAACCATATATGTGGAACATGAGGAGTGATCCTTAATGTAAACTACAGACTTTAGTCATTAATAATGTATCAGTATTAGCTCATCAATTAAAACAAACATATCACATGAGTGCAAGATGTTAAAAACAGAGGAAATGGTTGGGGGAGGTGTAACGGGATGGAGGCTCTTTGTACTTTCTGTTCAAGTTTTTCTGTAAACCTAAAATTGCCCCACCACCCAAAAAATAAAGGTGGGGAGAGAGAGTTTTCTTATATCAATTAACCTAGCTAACAAGTTTATTTGAGATAATGTGAAAAATAAGGAATAGAAACATAAACAGCAAGGATTTAGGTTAAATTACACATGTACTTTTGAGTATCATGGTTTTGAGAAAGTTTAACATGACGGTATAGAAAAATTTCAAACTAAAAAGTTGGAAAAAAATATGTCACTGTAGTGTATGAACATAGGTTAACTCTGTGAGCAGTAAAGATTTGTCTACAGTTGCACACTATGAGAGGGAGAAATGAGAACACAATTCTGTGATGAATTAAAACATTGGCATTTCTCCTTTTATTCCTCTTCTAGTGTTTGTTTCTTTAAAACGCTTTTATTTTATTTTTACAACTTATTCATTCACTTAGATAGGCAAAAGAAAATAATACTAAACTTAACTTTGATGTAACAAAGTAATACCACCCTCGTTTTTCTACTTTACACAGCTCTAAAGAGACAGAAGTAAAAATGTTTCACTGTGGCAGGCCAGCCATATGGAAATGAGTAGCTTCATCAAATTAGGGCACATTTTCATGGCTAAGTAAATAATTTAAATAGAATAAAGGCAAATGTTGAGTGATAAAGTTAAAAGAAGACTCTACTTTTGTCAAAACACAGAGCACAAGCACAGATAATACAATGTATGTAAACACAGGCACAGGAAGCATATTTGTAATTTCCAGAAAGTCCAACTAGCAGTTCTATGAACTGAAGAACATGTTAACAATTATATTCTGTATGGACAAACTTATCTTACTCTCATGTTTGAAAAGGTATGGCCCATATTGGGGCTATAAACAGCTTTGCTGAATGAATGAATGAATGATATTTTTTCTCTAAGAGGAAAGAATAATGTATATATTAAAAGATATTTTAACCCAATTTAGCAATGTTCCAAATTTGACTCACATTAATTTTTTTCCTTCTAAAGTTTTGAGCTCAAGGCACACTTGCATGGGAAATGAGGTGAGGCAGGAGGAAAACAGATTTTACTAAGTTCAACTAATTGCTGCTTGATTTTTAGAACTGGCCAAAATTTCATGTAAGAAGAGATTAGCTAAAGAGATGTACTTCCTTTCCATGTTTATTACAACTTAGAAAAATGGACCTTTTACCTGATGAAATCTTCTTCCTCTTCTCTCTTTGGCCTCAGCTGTTTGGGTTGAGCCATATTCATCCAGTTTGGTAGAGATTTCAAGAGTCTGCTGATATCATCATCTTTTGCCCAGGATGCACTGATGACAAGTTTTTCCTCGGACTGGACAATACCCCTAAACACAGTCAACAGAAAAGAGGCACTGCAGCATGACGTCTGGTATTCAGTTAGCATTTTCGGCTACCTTTGCTGCAGAAAAAAGATATCACACTCATGTCTCTTTTGAACATACTCCATTATCTGAGTTGGAGTCAGTGATACCCATTAATAGGTCACATTGCTGGGAAACAGCATTTCTACATTTCATACTTAGTTTCTTAATCGTTGAGTAATCGTGATTGTTGATAATACTAATTAGTTCCTTTTACTGTAGTTGATCCCTTAGGATAAATAAAAGTGCATGGTATGTTTGAGGGGGGATCTTTTAAGAAAATGTTGAATAAAAAGTGGGATAACCATGTAAAAGAATGCTATTAAGTGACAACATAAGTAGTACCTAAAAGATGACAGAGTGTTACAAAAGGTTGTACTCTGACTTCTTGGTTTAAACTATCAATTAGTTCTAGTTGAGGGTATTGTTTGAATTATGGACACCCCTCTCTTCACAGCCAATCTACCATCATAAAGAAACCCTCAGCCCCAGATGTCAGGCAGAAAAAGCCTTTGATTACTGTCATCTCCAGCAGGTTCTGACTAGTGACCTATAGCTGACACGCTTTGAGTCTTTTTTTTTCCCCCTGTTTATTTATTTTATTGCATTTTAGGTTTTGGGGTACATGTGAAGAACATGCAAAATTGTTGCATAGGTACACACGTGGCAGTGTGATTTGCTGCCTTCCTCCCCATCACCTACATCTGGCATTTCTCCCCTTGCTAGGACCCATGGGTTAGCTATTAACACTGCTCTTATCGGAATGTTACCTGTAAATTCATCTTAAATGTTCAACTTCAACTTAATTAAAAAGCTTTTCTTTCTGTTCAACAATTGTCACTATAACTAATTTCAATGATCTAAATGTCCTCATCAGCAATATTAGGTGACAGAAATGACATTTATTTATGAAGGGAGTGCCAATTAGCTAGCTACCCCTCTGGAGCTGACCAAGACTCCATTAGATTGCCCCCATCACAGGCAGGAATCTCTTTTGGTACGGGGGTCATTCTGGTGGACACTATGCACTTCCAAATAAACAATATATATGGCATGTATGTATGTATGATACCTCCTTGGCCCAACAGACAATTACTGTTTATAGAAAAAATAAGGTGGAGCCTAGGTCAGGTGCAGTGGCTCACATCTATGACTACAGCACTTTGGCAGGCTGAGGCAGAGGGATTGCTTGAGGCCAGGAGTTCAGGACTGGCCTGGGCAACACAGATTGACCATCTCTACAAAACAAAAACAAAAGTTGAAGCCTACAAACCTTGAGTCATGACAGACTGACTTAAGGAAACATAGTTTCATGTTGTAGGGCAGGGGTCCCCAATCCTTGGGCCACAGACTGGTCCCAGTCCATGGCCTGTTAGGAACAGGGCAGCACAGCAGGAGGTGAGCAGCAGGCCAGTGAGCATGACTACCTGAGATCCACCTCCTGTCAGATCAGCGGTGGCATTAGATTCTCATAGGAGCACACACTCTATGGTGAACCGTGCATGCGAGAGATCTAGATTGCAAGCTTCTTGTGAGAATCTAATGTCTGATGATCTGAGGTGAAACAGTTTCATCCTGAAACCATCCCATCCCCCTCTGGTGTCTAAAAGGTTGGGGACCACTGCTGTAGGGAGCAATATTACCCTGGTTCTTTTAAAATGAATTTGAATAAATAAGAGAGCTATTTATTTGCTCTCTTATTCTTCTAAAGTTTTGAGCTCAAGGCACACTTACATGGGAAAAGAGGTGAGGCAGGAGGAAAACAGATTCTAGAATTCTTCTAACTCATTATAAGGAATGTTTTCTCATAGTAACTATGGTCAGAGACACAAAAATTGGTTTGCAGAAACTTCTTCCCGCCAATCTCTCAAATTACTTTCTTATTGCTATTTTCTATTCCCTCTTTTGTTATTTCCTTGTATCTTTTCTGCAATATTTATGGACTAATCCAGCAATCTAACTTTTACCATCTTATACTTGCATTGCAATCTTATAGCATGGTACCAACTCAGATACGAGATTCTGTGGCAGGTGTACCCTCAATGTTTCTGACATTGTTTATACCTGTCTCTGATCAGGTTCCTCTCCCCATTTATAGTAGTAGCTATCTCTTTAAAAACATTTGCCTTTTCTGTATGTCCTCATTTGCTTGTCCCCCATATCCTTCTTATCTGATAGAGAAAGGAAGCGACCTAATTATATACTTTCAAATATTTGACCTCTTAACCCCAACAGAAATATGTTCAAATCTGTTTCATCCTCACTCATTTCCAGTAATTCGTCTATGTAGGCTCTTGGGGATCTTTTCTCCCCGACCTATCTCCTCTTTTTCTTGTATTTTTAGTCTTTCCAGTATGTATTCCCTAATCCGCTGTTATTTTTAAAATGAATGAATGAATGAATGAATGAATGAATGAATGGATCTCTTCCCTACATTTTTCTCTAACAAAGCTGCTCCCTCTCCTTCAAAGGTATTAATCAAAGGAGCCACCGAAACTAACTGACTTCACTGCCTCATCTCTCATTCATGAAATCTCTCTCCAAGGTCTACTTTATGATTTAACCCATCTACTGCTTTTTTGAAAAATTTTCAGTTATTATATTTTTCATTTCTAGATTTTCTATTAGCCTCAGTATCTGGAGACTCTCTGAGCATCCATTTTTCTATGTCCCATTATGCTGGTTTTTATTTTTATTATCTTTTCTTATTTAGTTATTTNACTAGCTTTTCCCCTCTAAAATGTCCTGTTCTTGTATCATGGAATCTGGTCTTTTTAAAAACCTCTTTGAATGTTTTAGAAAACAATTTTTAGGTTCGTTTTATGAAGTGGCTTTATATTCTTTGGTAGTTCTCATAGATATCAAGTGTCCTATTTTTTGCATCTGCCTTCTTTTCTAATGATGATGCTTTTCCTCATTTGGTCTGCTACTTTGGTCTGGAAGCTCTACTCAATGGGACTTGTCCTCTGCAGGAATCCTGCATTTGCCCTGAATTTTCAAGGTATCACTATTAGGTAGTCTGCATTTCCCTCTCCTGATTCCTATGAGTTCCACTGGTTCCAAATAGGTTTATAATTTTTGTTTTTTTCCTTTTTTTTGGGGGGAGCGCTTAAGGCTTTTTCTACCTATGCAGGTAGTACAAATTGAGGTTCTTACTTGCACATATCACATGAGCTGTGGGATTCTGATTTCTTTTAGGGGCTACTTTTCTACTCCAGGTTGGGCGGCTCCTTCTTAAGTCCCAAGTTTTCTTGGTTCCATTCATGAGTGAACTAAGAAATATGAATGAAAACAGTCCCTTGCGTAACTTCTGCATAGATATAGCTCCCTCCCTGCCTGGAAGATGTCAAAAGGCTAGCCTCTATTTGACCTCTGTATGTGGTCCTGAAACCTTTGTAGCCCACTCAACTTCCACATTTGCCTGTTTCTGTGGCTTTTAATTCTTCTTTCATTCATGGCATCTGGAGAATTATCTTTCATCCTTTTGAGTTTGGTTACATATCTAAAATACGTTTGAAGTTATAATTTTGTTTTTATCCAGAGTTTCTACAAGTTAGAAGCAAGAAAAGGGCTTTTAAAATCTATTCACTCCAAACTTTTGACAGGAAATCAAAATCCAGTCTTAAATCAACTGCAATCAGGGTTTTAGAACCATTATTCCACTGAAATTGCTCCACCAACCCATAAGCACTTTTTATTTTATTCTTCGCGCTCTTTGACTATTCTAAAGCATCCAAAACTTTTGATTACTCTCTTCCTGAAATATCACTCTTTTGCTTTCCACATAGTGTTCTTTACCTATCATCCTAACCTTTCTTAGCCAAATAGATGGCTCTTTTTCTCTGTCCATACTTTAAATGGTGTGTTCCACAGAATTCTGCATTTTCCACTTGGACAGTCTCATCTTCTTGCCCATAATGAGCCACCTATATTCTGATGACTCTGAAATTATTATCTCTAAGTTTCCTATGTGCATAGTGAAAGGCTTACTGTAGAACTCTACTTGAAAGTTCCATCCACACTTCAAGTTAAAATGAGTCAAGAGGAACTCAATTACTAACTACTTCCCTCTCTCTCTCCCACTAAGTATCTAATGTTCCCTCTTCATGCCATCCCGTTATGAGAGTCAGGAACGCAGAGTCATCCTAATTACCCAGTCACCACATCTTGCCAATTCCCCCTCCTTAATATCTTAATAAATCTGTCATTTCCTGTCCAGGTTCACTGCTATTAACCTATATTTAAACTCTTGTCATTTTTCACTTGGACTTGGCAATAACCTTGTAACTGGGCTTCTTGTCTACAGCTACAAGACCATCAGTTCAACTCACCACACCAGTCAGAAGAGTCATTTTTCTAAACTACAAATATAATCATGTTATAAACCTTCTTACTAGTCTTCCATGACTCCTAATTCCAGGTAAGACCAAGGCTAGACTTAGCAAGCCATGAACATCTATCTTTCCAGCCCTACCTCCTGGTATTCCTTTCCTCCTTTATGTCTGTTCTTTATTCGTAGCCAATCCCTTGCCTGTGCTGGTTGAACACACTACCCATAATGAGTATTCCAAAATTTTCCAAATAGGATATATAATTTCCTGCTTCTCTGTGTCATCTTGATCTAGAAAGCCTTTTTCTCATCCTCGTTTGCCTCTTCTTACCAAGCACTGCCCCAGCTCCTCCCTTGAGACATCTGAGTCCTCTTTTCTTGTGCCTCATCGCTCCTATACCAGAAGTTTTCAACCTTGACTGCACATTAGAATTACTTGGGGAAGCTATTTAAAAACCCAGATGCCCAAGCCATAACCAAGACCAAGTAAATCACAATCTCTGGGGTGTGAGATCCAAGCAACTGAATCTTCTGGAGTTTCCCATGTGATTTCAATGGGCACTCAAGGGCCACAACCTTTGCATTTGCCAACCTCCATTTTGACTGGTCCTACCACACTTTTTTTGCAAGCTGG